GGTTATGGGCATATATCACCATGCCCAGCTAATGTTTAAACTTTTTTTTGTAGAGATGAGGTCTTGCTATGTTGTACAAGCTGGTCTCAAACTCCTGGACTTAAGCAATCCTCCCACCTCGGTCTCTCCCAAAGTGCTGGGTTTACAAGTGTGAGCCACTGTGCCTGGCCTCTAGTTGCCATATTATCAATAGATGATGGGTGGGTGGGGGCAATGATAGGGAACAAAGGAGAAGCAAGGAAACTCATAAGGAATAAGGACCTTTTAATAAAAATCCAAGCCATATGGGGGTGGTGGCATGCATCTATAGTCTCAGCTACTCAAGCAGCAGAATTATCACTTGAACCCAGGAGTTAGAGACCAGCCTGGACAACATAGCAAGATCCCCTGTCTCAAAAAACAAAACAAAACGAAAGATCTCTCAATCCAACTAAAAGATTAAGTAATTTGGACCAGGATGGTATCAATAGAGGGGTAGATCAATTCTGAGTTTGTCATGTATATTGACCATCCAAAGGAAGATAATGTAGGAAGTTGGACATGTGCATCTTGGGTTTGAAAGAAAAGTTTGCACTAGAGTTAAACATTTGGGAGTTTCCAGCATTTAGTATTTAGTCTGAATGAGATGATAAAGAAAGTGTAGATAAATAAATGGGCCAATGATTGAGCCTGAAACCCTCCAACATTAAGAGGCTGGGAAGAAGAGGAATAGCAAGGAAAAAATACAGCAAAACTATTAGTGGTATGGGACAATTTCTGTTTATCTTCCATCTCAAGATGACTTCCAAAAATAATTATGATACTGCTATAATGATAGGGATAATGAATGCTAATGATAAGAAAGGAAAGGAGGGATATCATCTGGATACATTCTAAAAGGATAAAAGAATAAAAACATAGCAAGACTTTGTCTCTACAAAAAAATAAAAAAATATTAGCTGGGTGTGATGATGCATGCCTGTAGTCCCATCTACTCGGGAGGCTGAGGCAGGAATATCGCTTGAGCCCAGGCATTTGAGGCTGTGGTAAAATAAGCCATGATTGTGCCACTGTACTCCAGCCTGGGTGAAAGAGATCTCCAACTCGGAAGGAAGGATGGGAGAGAGGGAGGGAAGGAGGGAGGGAGGAAGGAAGGAGGGAGGGAGGGAGAGAGGGAGAAAGGAAGGAAGGAGAGAAAAGAGAGGGAATTATAACTTTCTGCTACAGGTTCCAAAATGGCATTGTAGCAGCAAGCTAGCTTTATTCCTCCCCCCTCACCTCACAGAAAACCAAAGCAAATATATAACATTGAGCTCCTCACCAAAAATATACCACAACTAAAAAATGAAGATAAAACAGTTCCCAGAGGCACAGAGAAGTAAAGAAGCTCTGAGTGGACAATAAGAGAATCAGACTTCCACATCCACAATCCCACTCCTCCTAATCTGCCCAGTACCAAGCAAGTGGAAAGTTTTTCCCCAGCTTACAGTTTTTTGGTTTTTCTACCAAGGGACCCTCAATGATTCCCCAGCTCACGGTTTCTACAATGAAAAAGGTGAGAGATCCAAGTGGACAACCAGCTTCCCTACCTCTATGGGTTACCTAGCAGGAGACCCATCTCTGCCTTAACCCACTGGGATCATCCCAAGTGCCTGAAGAGAGAAATATCCCTGAGGACAGGTAAAAACAAAAGGGAGAGACAGAACTACCACCTTCAGCTCTGAAAACTCTGCTCTATAACTCAGATAAAAAAGATACCAAATTAGAGTGGCTGTTCAGCAGCATTATGCTGTAGGAAATTCACCCCATAGGTCCCCTGGGAACAAACCGTTAGCTATTCTTCCCTCATTGCCAGGAAATCCTCTTTAAGACCTTCCCTATTGGGGAAGGGCAGGCTCTCATCCTTTACTAGAGCCAAGGCAAATCTGGGCTTAAGGTGCCACCTAGAGCTGAAAAGAAGGCAATGACCTAGTGGTAAAGAACCCCTAAGCAAATATATCCATTAAAAATCAAAACAAGTCAGACAAAGATGTAGACATACATCCACAAGAAATAACGGCAAACAGGGAACGAAGATCTCCCCCAAACAGACAAAGCAAGGAAGCAGTAGGTGACCCTAACAATACTGCAATATGTGAACTCTCTGGCCAACAATAAACAATTAAATTCCTAACTAGACTGATTAAGAAAAAAAGAGACAGCTGGGCACAGTGGCTCATGCCCGTTATCCCAGTGCTTTGATAGGCTGAGGCAGGAAGCTTGAAACCAGGAGTTCAAGGTTACAGCAAGCTATGATTGTGCCACTACACTCTAGCCTGGACAACAAACCAAGACCTCGTCTCTAAAATAAAATAAAATAATAATAAAGAAATGTTATGAGCAGCTTAGGGGAACAAAATCAATGACTTAGAAGAAATGGACAAATTCCTTGAAAAATACAATTTACCAAAATTACGACAAAATTAAACACAGACAGGAACAATGCTCAAATCCCATCACAGAGTTTGCACGCTGGGCATGCTGACAGTGCAAATTTGTCACTGCCATAACTGCCTTGGGGAGTTGGATGCATCATTTTTTTTTTTTTTTTGAGTTGGAGTCTTACTCTGTTGCCCAGACTGGAGTGCAGTGCCCGCTCCCGGCCACCGCAGCCTCGACCTGCTGGGCTCCAGCGATCCTTCCACCTCAACCTTCCAAGTAGCCGGAACTACAGGCGTGTGCTACCACGCCTGGCTGATTTTTTGATTTATTATAGAGATGAGGTCTCGCTGCCCAGGCGGGTCTCGAACCTGTGGGCTCAGGCATCCACTCACCTCAGCCTCCCAAAGGCACGGGATTACAGGCTGAGCCACCGAGCCCGGCAATTGGATGCATTATCAACCGTCACAAAAATGTTTATCTTCTCTCTAAATGAGGGGATTGAGACATGAGAGGCTAAATATCTAGCTCAAGGTATGCTGCTACGAAGTTCAGAAGTGTGCTATTCACCTCGTTAGTATGACTCCAAAGCCTTCCCAACTTACTGTTACCCTATATTGCTGCTCTTATAGGTTAAGCTTGTCCTAGTAAATGTATATGCTCTTTTTTTTTTTTTTTTTTGAGACAGGGTTTCACTCTGCTGCCCAGGTTGGAGTATAGTGGCGCAATCACAGCTCACTGTAGCCTGAAACTCCTGGGCTCTGGCAATTCTCCTGCCTCAGCCTCCTGAGTAGCTGGGACTATAGGCATGCACCACCACATCTGGTTATACCCTCTATATAATTGTAGCTAGTCATTATAGTATTTTCTATTTGTCAAGCATTGTTGTATAAAGGGATTGATTACAATGACTTAATCAGGAAAGAATGTATCATGAATTTAGTAACTGAGTTTTCTTGATTCCAGTTTGGTTTCGCTTCTGCTTCTTTCTATTTCTCTTCATTAGCACTTCATGATGAGAATAGCTCTATCAGGGCTTTCTTGGGTAATTCTTAAGACTCAGAATCTATGGGTCAACAATTTCTCTGGACTCAAGAATCCTTCTCCACCTAAACATTTTTAATGTAGTCATCCTGAAAAAAATTGTTATAACCTCAATCCAAAGTTTGGATGATACCGAATTAATGGGAAACTGTTTCATTATGTTTGTTTAGTTTTATTACAGTAAATTATACAAATGATGTACTCTTCCATATGCTGTTTTGATGTCATTTTCAGGAGGTATCCAATATGTCATAATAGGTTTGAGCAATTTTCTACTATCTTTCTTGGGCCAGAGGAATCCTTTGTGTACCAGTGTTGCCAAACATGGCTTTATATGTGTCTTTTCCCTGATCTGCCTCAAATATGCTGCTATTTATCACTCAACCCGCCTTTCCTAGACATTATAGTGGTGCTTCATGAAAGGGGGCTAAAGTTATGAGAATGAGACACCAAAAGGTCAAAGATGCAAAAATACATATTCAAAAGATGAGAGAAATGAAGTTTCCTCTCTTGCCCTCACCACTTCCTCCCAATACCAATCACTCAGCTCTGTCGTAACACTCACACCTAGAACAGAAGGTAGAAGTGAGTCAGATCTTGACCAAGAGGCTCAGGCAGAGGAGATTTTAAAATCTTATCTGCTTTCTGATTATTTCTCCTCCAATACCTTCATTTGCCCGTACTACTTTGGTTACAAATGTCAGAGACCCAATTCATTGGCCAAAGGGGGGAGAAGTGGGAGTAGAAAGAAAACACTATTAGCTTGTATGTTCAAAATGAGACAAAGCAGAGATAAATGTCTCAAGCCTCAGGATTCTAGAGCCCAGGGGAAGCACAATCAAGTCTTGCTCTATTTCTTCTTTTAAGTATCAGTGTCATTCTCTCAAACCAGCTACCCCATGTCTACAGGGAGCTCACAATTCATATCCTTATACCTTGTGAGTAGAGATAAAGAGACTTCCTTTTCCAGACTCAGTTCTCCAAGGAGAACTCTGATTGGTCTAGTTTAGGTTATACACATGCTTATCCCTGAACGAATCACTATGGCCTGAGAGATGGTATATTAGGATTGGTTCATCTTAGATCAGGGGCTCCCTGAAGATGAGACTAACTAGATGCTGAACAAACCTATTTTACGCACAAATAGACTACCATTAAAAGTATAAGACCTGGCCAGACACAGTGACTCAAACCTGTAATCCCAGCACTTTGGAAGGCCAAGGCGAGGGGATTGTCTGAGTCCAGGTGTTCAAGACCAGCCTGGGCAACTTGGTGAGACCTCGTCTCTATAATAAATCAAAACATTAGCTGGGCATGGTGGTGCATGCCTGTAGTTCCAGCTACGTGGAAGGCTGAAGTGGAAGGATTTCCTGAGACTAGCAGGCCAAGGCTGCAGTGGCTGTGAGTGTGTCACTGCACTGCAGCCTGGGTGAAAGAGTGACACTCCAACTCAAAAAAAAAGTGTAAGACCAGAGGATGGGTTTTATAATTTATATCTTAAGCAACAGAAAGCTGAGACGATATCTATAATATTAAAATGTTATTAGATATGTTTATACCTTAAAAACTTTTATCTGCTCCATTACTGTGGTACACATAGTAATAGTAGGATTTTCTTTTGGCTCTTCTTCAATTCTCTCTTCTTCCAAAGATCGCTTTCTTGCTGCCTTTCTTTTTTCTTGTAATTCTTTCTTTTGCTTCATTTGAAAAAATTTCAGTGTCTTAAAAATGTCTCGGGAAAATTCATCTACATCAGCTTCCATGCTTTCCCCATTAAGATCCAAAAACCCTCCATCCATCCACCTGGGTTGAAATAAAAAAAATATTATTAAGCTCAGATTTTTGGAGTTTGAAGGGGCCTTAAAGAACCTTTAGGATAGATCTCTCATTTCTATAAGAAAGTCAAATAAGGGAAAGAGCTATTAACAGTTTTTCTATCACATAGGTAGAGCCGATAGTGGAGAGATAGGACTAAAATCATTAATTTTTTTTTTTTTTTTTTGCTGCATGTGCTAAAATATGTATCAGATTATAAATGGGTGACTAACAGTCCCAAAATAAAATGCATATTTTACCCCATACTTCTTTTTTTTTTGAGTTGGAGTCACACTCTGTTGCCCAGGCTGGAGTACAATGAGGCACTCACGGCCACCACAGCCTCAACCTACTGGGCTTAGGCAGGACTTCTGCCTCAGCCTTCTAAGTAGCCGGAACTACAGGCGCACACCCAGCTTCCAAGTAGCTGGAACTACAACCACAGCTGGCTAATTTTTTAATTTATTGTAGAGATGAAATCTCGCCAAGTTGCCTGGGCTGGTCTTGAATCTGTTGGCTCAGGCAATCCACTCGCCTCAGCCTCCCAAAGTTCTGGGATCACAGGCTGAGCCACGGAGCCCAGCCTGACCCCATACTTCTAATGTTTCGGGTAAACATTAGTCAAATTAATAAACTGAAAAACAAAAGTGAATTGACTCTGGAAAATCCAAATGTCAACTCAGATATTACTTTTTTTTCATGTCAGAAGGGTAATGTGCCAACATTGTAACACTGTTTGAGGGAGGCATATCTTACACATGAGTGTGAAAACCCAATCATCAAGCTTTTGAACCATAAAAGGATCTCAGATATTATATTAGTAAGGTTAGATGGTACCTTAGCGGCATTGGATACTTCTTCTGTGTGATACTTGGTTCTGTCTTTCAAATGAATGAATAAGTCAAACTTTCTAAACACTTAACCAAATTAAATCAGCTTACATTTCACAAATTCTTTTATATCATTTGTTTAATTTTTATTACATTACCAGAAATTACCGTTTTTCTGTTCGTTGCCACTTCAAGACGAAATTAAAAAACTTCTGATAGGGTTCAATGTTAACTTTTAATTTATCCAGTTCAGGATATTTTGTCAATTCCCATTTGAAAAGTTCCTCTTCTTTATTAATAAACTGAACTGCTTCTTCAGATTCCTGAATACGTTTTTGTAGTTGTCTTACATCTGTCACATACTGAAAGTAAACAAAATTTATCTCAAGAAACATTTGAACAATGTTATAAAAATAAGATCATGATACTGCATAGAATATGTCCTTGCATTTATGCAGCAACTTTCAATATTAACTTCACAACTATGCTAGAGAACAAAAAGTATGATAATGCTTACTCTACAAATATAAAACTAAGTCACAAAAAAGAGAACATAGATAGTTCTAGTTCCAGGCCTAAGAGTCAGGTATCTGTTTGTCATAGTAAGCATATATTTTTCTATATTTTAAAATTTATGTTAATGTGTCCTCTATTAATATATACACTGGCCATAGCTATTGCTTTATATATTTATCAGACCTGTTGCATACGGTCCAGCTCTGCAAATTCTGTAAACTCTTCCATGCGACGTGATTCCTTTTCTATCTCCAAAATTAGTTTCTCTCTCTTGGCCATTAGTTCATTTTCTTTTTTATGTTTAGCATTCTCAATAAGCTTTTTAAAAGATAATTTAGTCATGTTAATTATTCTATTACAAAGTAAAGGTTATCAAAGCAGAAATCGAAATGCTTTATATAGTAATAAAAACCATCAGAGAAGTAACAATGAATACAAAAATAAAACATTGTCTACAATGACTAATATAAGAATGTAAATAATAATAAACCACACAGAAAAATGTTCCTAGGTCTCCAAAATGATTTTCACAACTCTTATTTATTAATTAAATACTCTAATTATTTAACAGATTCTAGGATAATAAAACTGTCATTTATCGACCATGTGCCATATATCAAGAACTATTTAACACTTTACCTACATTATCACAGGTATTACTATTACTACTACTACTACTACTACTGCTACTACTACGATTATTGTTATTATTATTTTAGTCAGGATCTCATTCTGCTGCCCAGGCTGAAATGCAGTAGCACAATCACAGCTCACCACAGCCTCCAACTCTTGGGGTCAAGTGATCCTTATGTGTCAGCCTCCTGAAGAGCTGGGGCTACTCACACTCAACCAAGCTTTTAAAAAATTTTTTGTAGAGATGAGATCTCACTGCATTCCCCAGACTGGTCTCCAACTCCTGGGCTCAAATGATCCTCCTGCCTCTAACTCCCAACGTGCTGGAATCACAGGCATGAGTCACTGTACTGTGACACTGTTATTCTCATTTCATAGATGAAGAAATTGAGGTTTACGGAAATCAAGAGGCATATGCAAGTTCAAAATCATTCAAGTCAAAATCTGGATTAGAATGTTGGTTCAGGGGAGGGGGCACACCTCATCAACAAGGGTACTTGCACAATGAATATTTGTATACTAACCCTTAGTTGTACTGCACAATTTAAAAATAAAAAAAATTTTTTTTAATGTTGGTTCATCTGATTGAAGTCCATGTTCTTCATTAGTATACCATCTCACTTCCCAATTTAGGATAAACTGGTTTATATTAGGACTTTTTCAAAATCTAAAATATATTCAGTCTGATATAAAATTCTGAATCTATTACTTCTTGTCTCTGTGATATTAAGCAGTTATTCAATTTTTCCAAGTCTCATTTTTCTCATCTATACAATAGATGAGAAAAGTGAGAGTTCCTAGGATTTTTATGAGTATTGAATGACTGAATAAATGGAAATCATTTACTCAGTTCAGTGCTACTATTACTAATTTATGTAATAGTTCTGCCTTTGTAAATGTCAGCCCCACTTAACCAGGCCTGGTAAGTTAAGTCTTACTGCTTGTCCTAATCCTAGAGGGCTATAAATGTTGCCAGTCTAAAACTCATATTGACACACAAAAAATGTGAGCAATATGCTTAAAATGTCAGAATACAAAAATATAAAACAAAAAATATATTTACCTCATCATTTTCATCAAAGATGGGATTAATTTTCCTAGGCCACATGAGGACAGTTGCATTTAAAGCTAAGTCTTCTTGAGGAAATAGAAAAACATCTAAAAAATAACTCAGTTGGCGTTTAGATTCCTACAAAAGAAACTCCAGATATAATACCATATAAAAAATCTAAGTCATTATAAAAAAGAGAACCACAACAATCTAATACTTTTCAAATTTTCAATTTGACTCTGATTATTAACTGATATTTTATATACTGCCCAAATCACATGAGTATTTCAATAGCTATAGTATCTTTATCTGGGTTTATGCTGCACAACTGTATACTTTCACACTGAAAAAGCTTTTTAAAAGTTTTCACTTGCAGTTGACTTAACATAAAGGAACTGTTGGTTCCTGCACATGACTGAAAAGGGTGATTAAATATTCAGCAAATATTTAAACTTTGACTTAAAAGAATTTTAAATTCTTTTATTCTTATTAATTTTTATATTTTTGACTCTTTGGTGACAAATATTTTAGTATCTTTTTGTTTTGTTTTGCATCTTCAGTGGCATTCCCACCTTTTTGTCTATTTAGGATACAGCAATAGTCCAGAACAAGTTTGGAGGTGAGTGGCAAGGGAAAAATTCTTTAAAGCAGTAGGTTTATCTGAGTAGAAAAGTTGAATATTTTTTACCCCCATTGCTTTAATTGAATCCATATGTTGTACTGTAATGCTATAATTTTTAAGAATTGAAATACAGATGCAAAGGCTAATTCAAGGTATTTGATTTTACATTCTAAACATATATGTATTTTATACATTCTATATATTATATAGATATATAATTATAGAGTATGTAATTTATAAATTATATAATTATACATTACATATACAAAAAAACAAGTAACCACATGAAAAAGTGGCAAAGGACATGAATAGACACTTTTCAAAAAAAGACACACAAGCAGCCAACAAACATGAAAAATGCTCAACATCACTAATCATCAGAAAAATGCAAATAAAAACCACAATGCAGTATCACCTCACACCAGTCAGAATCGCCACTATTAGTAAGTCAAAGAACAAATATTGGTACAGTTGCAGAGAAAAGGGAACGCTCACTCACTGTTGGTGGGATTGTAAGCTAGTTCAACCTCTATGGAAAACAGTACGGTGATTTCTCAAATAACTAAAAACTGAATTACCATTTGACCTAGTAATGCCACTATGAGGGATCTACCCAGAGGAAAACAAATCAATGTATTAAAAAAGATACCTGTACTCATATGTTCACTGCAGCACTATTGACAAGAGCAAAATCTTGGAACCAACCTAAGTGCCTACCAAAAATTGAATGGATAAAGAAAATGTGGTATATATATGCCTTGGAATACTACACAGTCATAAAAGGTATGAAATCATGTCCTTTGCAGCAACACGGATGGAGCTAGAGATAATCATCCTAAGTGAACTGACTCAGAAATAGAAAACCAAACATCTCATGTTCTCACTCATGAGTTGGAGCTCAACAGTCACATAAATGGAATAATAGACACTGGGGACACCAATAAGGGGGGGGAGGCAGAGAGGGAGGTTAGGGTTCAGAAAATACCTATGGGGCACAATGATCACTATCTGGGGAATGGGCCACCTGAGACCCAATCTCCACCACTACACAACACGTCCATGTAATGAACATACGTGTGTACCTCCTGAATCTAAAATTTAAACATAAAATAGAATTTAAATACAGATGCAAAGACCAATTCAAGGTTTTTGATTTTACATTCTACATACAGGGGGTGCCAAAAAAAATGCATACATATTTTAAGAGATGCTATCCATGTATTACTTTTTGAAGTTGAATTAAATTGTGGTAGCAATATGTAGTGTGACATTCATTCAACCATGCTTCTGCCATTTTCTTTAAAATGACTGATGGTACTGGGAAACTATGGGGGGGGATGGGATTAACAGTCGCAAATATCTGTCTGGGGATGGGGAAACACCTCTTATCAACAGGGTGCCTGAATGAAACGTAATTGTACACCTAACCCTTAACTGTACCCCACAAAATCATAATTAAAAATATTGATTAAAAAAAAAGTGGGAAACTGTCAGGGGAGGGGGGTGGGATTGGTGGTTGAGGGAAACTGCTAGGGGAGGGAGGGGCATACCTCATCAACAAGGGCACCTGCATTATCAACGTCTGTATACCTAACCCTGAATTGTACCCCACATCTTTATAATAAAAAAAGTACATACATTTTTGGCACCCCCATATATATATTTTACACAATCTATATATTATATAGATATATAATTATTCATTAAATATAACATTATATATGTATTTTTTACATTCTATATATACATATATATGTATAATGCACGTAGATATAAAACTTAGAAATATAAAATTGATTCATGTAATTCATTATATTAATAGGTTAAAAAAGAAAAGCATATGATCACCTTAACAGATGCAAAAAAAAAAAGCATTTAATAAAAGTCAACATCTACTCATAACTTTTTTTTAAAAACCTAGTAAGACATCAACAATAGAAGTAAACTCATTAATCTGGCAAAGATATGTGTAAAAGACCTACAGTAAATGTTATTAACTGTGAAATCATGAATGCCTTTCCTTTGAAGCCAGAATAAAGATGAAAAATCTGCCATCACCCACTGCTATTCAACATTGTACTAAAGGTCCCAGTCAGTCCATTGTAGCAAAAAAAATAAAGTTTCAGAAATGTATAATTTTTCATAAGTAAAAACAAAACTGTCATTGCTTGCAATTATATGATGGTATATATAGACAACCCAAAACAATCTTCACATAAACTGTTAAAATTAAGAAGACAAATTTTAGGCTAAAATTTTAAATAGAAATTTTTTAAAGTAAGAAAAATTAAGAGTGATGAACATTAAATTAATATATAAAATAAAATTTATACTATAGCCCAAAGTATAAAAGAAGTATCCATAAATTCCTACTGATATAAATAAATTATTGAATTAATAAGTGGGAGAAAGAGACATATTTCAGATACAGAATAATACCAAGTAATGTAGATTCTCCATCCTAAAGGAGGGAAATTTTTTTTTTTGAGTCAGAGTCTCACTCTGTTGCCCAGACTGGAGTGCAGTGGCTGCTCCCAGCCACTGCAGCCTGGACCTGCTGGGCTCTGGTGATCCTTCCAACTCAGCCTTCCAAACGAGGGAAATTCTTAAACATGAACTGTATATAGTGACTTCCTTCCAAAGAGTACAAAATGGAAGGGGAGAGGAAAAAAAATGGAGAGACCTGACAAACACTACTTCAGTCAGGTGATCATGGCCAAAGTCAACAGTAATAAGTAATGTTGTTTGTCATAAATCCTTGATATGATGTGATGAAAATGGCACTTTACCTTTGTGATCCTCCTCCCAAAAACTCATACCTGAGTCTAATCATGAGGGAAAACATCAGGCAAATTCTCATAGAGAGCCATCCTACAATATACCTGACCAGTACTTTTCAAAACTGTCATGGTCATCAAAAATAAGGAAAGTCTGAGAAATTGTCACAGCTAGGAGGAACCTAAGAAGATATGATTAAATGTAATATGGTATCTTAGGTGGGATACAGGAACAGAAAAAGAACATTAAGTAAAAACTAAGGAAATGTGAACAAACTATGGCCTTTAATTAATAATAAGGTATCAGTGTTGGTCTATTAATTGTAATATATTTATCAGTTGATCTGTTAATTTTAACAAAGATACCACACTAATGCAAGATGTTAATAAAGGGGAAACTAAGTGTGAGAAGGAGTGGGGATGATTGTTAATATAAGAATTCTCTGTAGTATCTGCTTAATTTTTCTGTAAATCTAAAACTCTTCTAAAAAAATAAAGTCTATTAGCTATTTTATAAATAAATTATATTTCTGTATTCAAGCAATAAACAGAAGATGAATAATTTTAAAGATATCATTTGGTATAAAGAGATATTAATTACCTAAAAAAGATATGTACAGAACTTCTATAGATATGAACTTCTACAGAGAAAATTATAAGACAATGAGAGATATTAATAAGTAAATAAATAAAAGATCTATCATGAACTGGAAAACTCCATATTGTAAATGTGCAATTCTCCCCATCATCTATTTAACACATACCTAATCAAAATCCCAACAGATTTTTGTAGAACATAAAAGCTGATTATAAAATTTATATGAAAATGCTAAGGGCCAAAAACAAGCAAGAAACTGAATGAAGAACAAAGTGAGAGGATATGCTGTATCAGGTATCAGGACTTATTATTGCTACTACTATTGAGCTGTAGTAATTAAAAGAGTTGTGGTATTGATACAAGGATAGACAAAAAGGCCAATAGAACAGAATAGAAGGCCTCAAAACAGATCTGCACACATATGGACTTGATATATGACAGAGGTGTCATAGAAGAAAAGAGGGGATGATTTCATCAATAAATGCATAATTGCTCATCTATATGGGAAAATATTAAAATTATACATTACATCATTCAAAGAAATAAAATTTCAGAAGGATTGAAAACCTCAATCTGAAAGGCAAAAATAAACAACTTCTAGAAAAGGATATATAAGAAAAATATCTTTGACCCAGATAGTAAAGAATGTCTTAAATGAGACACTGAAAGTACTAGCTATAAAAGATTGTTCCATTTAACTGTGTTAAAATTAAAAACTTCTGTTCATCAAAAAAATCATTAAAAGGTTAAATTACAAAGTGAAGGAAAGGATATCTAATAATATATTAAAAACTCTATACTGAGCTGAATACTTTAAAATGGTAAATTTTGTATTATGTTTATTTTACTACAACTTTTTTAACCACTACAAATCAATAAGAAAAAGAATCATAACCCAAAAGAAAAATGGGCAAAAAACATGCATTAGTATTTCACAAAAGAGGAACTCCAAATGGCCAATAAGCATGTGAAAAGTGTTCAAATTCATTTATTTTCAGGAAAATGCAAATTGAAAATACAATAGGCTGGGCGCAGTGGCTCATGCCTGTAATCCCAGCACTTTGGGAAGCCAAGGTGAGAGGATTCCCTGAGCTCACAGGTTCAAGACCATCCTGGGTAACTTGGCGAGACATCTCTACAATAAATCAAAAAAATTAGCCAGGCGTGGTGGCACATGCCTATAGTTCCAGCTATTTGGAAGGCTGAGGCGGAAGGATTGCCTGAGCCCGGCAGGTCGAGACTGTGGTGGCCGTGAGCGTGCGACCGCCCTTCAGCCTAGTCAATAGAGTGAGACTCCAACTCAAAAAAAAAAGAAAAGAAAAGAAAATAACTTTCACCCTATAGACTGGCAAAATTTAAACTGCCTCACAATAGCAAGTCTGGGTAAGGTTGCAAAATAGTAGGAACTCTTGAACACTGCTGGAGGAGTGTAAAATTAGAACTACTTTGGAAAATAATTTTGCCTAAATTAGTAAAAGTGCAGAAAAGCACATCCTATAGCACCTGAGAGAAATGAATGAACATATGCACCAAGATACAAATATAGAAATGTTTCCAGAAGCATTGCTCATAATAGCAAAAGTAGAAACAACCAAGTATCTAGAACAGTAAAAATTTTTAAATAAATTATATAGTGATACAATATGGAATGGAATTAGCAAAAAAAAAAAAAAAAGAACAATGACATTACTAACGTAATGCTAACAAGAGGCAAAAGAATATAAACAGTATGATTCCCTTTATATAAAGATAAAAAATAACAATATTTATTAAAAATGCTTATTTAGATCGTCCAGCTATGAGGGAGTAATTACTACAAAAGTCAGGATAGTGCTAACATTTAAACAGAGGATGATGATGGGCTGCTGGGGTGTTGACTAGATTCTATTCCTTTCCCTAGGTGGTAATTACTGGCTGTTTACTTTATAACATTCCAAATTGTACAATGTATGTCTTATGCAATTTTGGTACAAATGTTCCGTATCTTTTAAAAAATTTAAACAAAGAGAGTAAAATATAGGTAAACAGATATATAATCTTGTACTGTAGAAGGCATAAGCATACTATTAAATGTAAAAACTATAAAAGAAAAAATATTCTATTTATTTTTTTCTTTCTTCATTTTTATTCCAGAGGCAGGGTCTCTGTCGCCCAGGCTGGAGTGCAGTAACCATAAACTCCTGAGCTCATGCAATCTCCCTGCCTCAGCTACCCAAGTAGCTAGGACTACAGGTGCACACTATCACACTTGGCCAAATTTTAAAATTTTTTGTAGAAACAAGGTCTTGCTATGTTGCCCAGGTTGGTCTTGAACTCTTGACCTCAAGCAATCCTCCCCCCTCAGCCTCCCAAAATACTGGAACTACAGGCATGCACCACTGTGCCTGGCCAAAAATATTTTGTTTATTCTGTTGTTTAAGAATATATACACAGTTGGCAAAACTAAAGAAAATCAAAGATATGATTACTATAAAATCAAAGGAAAACTTCTAAAGCAGGGAGGGGGAGAAGGAGAAGAGTTGTGAGCAGAAAGTCATATGCAGAGGCCTATTGGGGTGCTGACAATATCCTATTTCTTGACCTAGGAAGTAGCAACATGGATGCTCACTTTATAACTGTTTAACTATATGTTTTTTACATCTTCACTATGTATATCATATTTTATAATGAAAAAACTATTTAAAATATGTAAATTAAAAGCTTCTTACCTCAATCCTTAAAATCAACTCTCCAATTCCTACAGTCCGGGCTTTTTCTACATAAGATATCAGATCCATCATCTCTTCTGTTGTCTCAGGAACTTTTAATGCATGTTCTTTAATTGCTTCAAATTCACTGCAAATACTGACATAATTCTCTGCTTTACTATACTTAAGATAATTAATGTTATATTATACTCAATAAATACATGTTATGATTATTATTATAAAATAGGACTGTGACATCCTAAAAATAATTGGTTAATTCACTAAGATATCTTAAAATATTTAAATTTATCTGCTATAACTCAGTATATACCATACATCAATAAAATCTATAAAATTAAGGTAAGATTTTCATGTGAAATTATGACATATTTTAAGTATTTTAGTGACTTCTTTAATCCTTTTGAATACTCAAATAAGCAATGTGGAATAGAGCATACTTTAACTCATGCAGTCCTAAATTTAAATCCAGTCTCAGCTGCTACTAGCTTGTGAACTTATACAAATCTCCGAGGTTCAGTTTCCATATGTATAAAATGAAGATATTAACATCCATCTTGCTGGATTGTTGTAAAGTAACAATAAATGTAAAGGGCCTAGCACATAGTACACTCTCATGTACTGGTAACTATGATTGTTAATATAATCATTAGTTTTATTATTTTATTATTATTATTAGGGCCTCTCATGAAACATGACAGTATAGCAAGTAAAAAGATCTAATCTTTATATATATATATATATATTTTTTTTTTGTTTTGTTTTGTTTTTGTTTTTGTTTTTGTTTTTGTTTTTTTTTTTTTTGGTTGAGTTGGAGTCTCACCCTGTCACCCAGACTGGAGTGCAGTAGCCACTCCCGGCCACCGCAGCCTCGACCTGCTGGGCTCCGGCGATCCTTCTGCCTCAGCCTTCCAAGTAGCCGGAATTACAGGTGCGTGCTACCACACCCGGCTAATTTTTTATTTATTGTAGAGATGAGGTCTCGCCAAGTTGCCCAGGTGGGTCTCGAACCTGCAGACTCAGGCCATCCACTCACCTCAGCCTCCCAAGGCGTGGGATTACAGGCTGAGCCACCGAGCCCAGCACATATTTTTAAAAATCAATGATTCTCTTGAAATATCCTATGTATGTAAGTATGAACCTAGATACCCTATAGTCATTATTCACCTAAAGCTATGTTTTATGGAATTTTTTTCCTGTGCCTTAAAATATTTGTATTATCACGTTATTACCAGAAATATCAGGAAAAAAATATAAAAACAAAGTATAATAAAAGAGGCAAGTGATTTTAAAACTAAATTATAATGCATCCAGAAATTTGGTGAGCTATGTGGGGAATTATACTTATTCATTAATTTAATAAATAGTTGAGTTCCTACAGTGTGCTAAGCAAAATTCTAAGCATTGTAGATATAGCAGCAAATAACATAACCTGTTCTCATAAAACTTGCATCCAAGTTGAGGAGAGACACAAAAGAACACAGATGTATACAATGTTAGGTAGTAAAAAGTGCTATGAAGAAAAATAAAGTAAAGGGAAAAAGAATGATGGAGTGTAGGAAAGGGGCCACTACTTGTATATATTGGCCAGGGAAGGCCTTTCTAGGGAGATGATACTCAAAGTGAAAGAAGAAACAAACAAGTCATGGAAATATCAGACAAGAGCTTCTGTGAAGAGAAAACAGTAAGGACAAAGGCCCTGAGGAGGCAGTAAGCTTGGCACATTTCAGGAATGGCAAACAGGCCAGTTGAATGAATACAAAAAAAGAAGATCTAGTATGAAGTTGGAGAAGTAAGCTGGAGTCAGATCATGTAGGGCTTCAGAGGTAATTACTGATTATCAGAAATATAGGAAGAATGTGTTAATGTGGATAAGGCAAAAAGACAGTGATGCTTCTAGGGATCATCTTGCTAGAGCAGAATCTGAGTCCCATGGGGAGAGATATTTCAGCAAAAGGAGGCAGACAAAATTATGACAGCAAGGTGGCCCAAGCAGATGCTAAAGCAAACTGTGAAGTAAGCAAATTCCTCTTTAATAACCTTGTACTTAAGCTAGAGGTACACATTTCCTCCTTATGATGTTATCTAAATTATAAAATTTAAACAGGAAGAAATCAAAGAATGATTTGGAGAAAACTAAACAAATTTTCAGCTGCTTCATATTATGGATTTAAGATAGAGTAATTTTGTTGGAAGAAATCAAATTTTCCAGAAAAAGCACAGATTCTACAAAAAACAAAAACAAAAAAAAAGCTATGTTGAACATAATTCATTTTTTATTAACTATGACATTGTCATTGCTCTTACTCATCAGAATGGTGAAGACTCTCAAAAAAGGGATAGAATCTAATACTTTATACTCTTTGGTGCCTTCTTGTATGCTTTTGTACAAAATATGCCTGATAAACACTTAACTTTCTGACAGTCATGTATTTGTTTATTCATTTTAAAATATTTATTGGGTGCCTATGCTATGCCAGGCAAGGTGCTAGAAACTTTTGCAAATGTTATCTGTGAGCCTAGAACTAGTCCTGCAAAGAAAGTATTGTTGCTCATATTTGACACAGAAGGAAACTGAGGTTCAAGGAAATTAAGTAACCTGCCCAGAGTTATGGAACTAATTACTGGCAGTCAGGTCTTTCTAATTCCAAAGCATATCATTTTTTCACTTTGCTTCTGGGAAATTAAACATAATAGCTAACATTTATTGAGTATTATGTGTCAGGCACTGTACTAGGTGCTATATATACATTAGTTGTTTTGTTTCTTTTAAAGTCAGGATCTTAGTCTCACTCTATTGCCCAGGCTGGAGTGCAGTGGTACAATCCTAGTTCACTGAAGCCTTGAACTTTGGGGTTCAAGCAATCCTCCCTCGTCAACCTCCCAAGGTAACTAGGACTTCAGGCACACATCACTACATTCAGCTAATTATTTTCTTTCTTTCTTTCCTTCTTTCTTCTTTTTTTTACAGGCTGGATCTCACTATTTAGCCCAGGCTGGTTAGTTTTAATCTTTACAGAAGTTACAAACTCCTTTGGGGCTACATATGTAACAAATGAGCTAGAAAATTGGATGATGAGTTGGTCCAGCACTGGGTGAACAAACCACAGGACGCATTCAAGGTCTAAAGCTGCTTTTTAGCTCCATTTACCATTGTAGACCCAATGTGGCATGGTCTTCCTACTTTTTCAAGAAATCTGAAGTGTGTATGTGTGTGTGTGCACATGTGCATGCATATATGCATGCATGTGTGTGTGTGTGAATTTCTAATTTCAAAATGTTGGCCAGGCCCAGTGGCGCACACCTATAAATCCAGCACTTTGAGAGAACTGCTTGAGCCCAGGGGTTTGAGACCAGCCTAAACAACATAGCAAGACCTCGTCTATATAAAAAAATTAAAAAATAAACCAGGGGGCCAAAGTGGTGCACACCTGCAGTCCCAGCTACTCAGGAGTCTGAGGCGGAAGGATCTCCTGAGCCCTGCAGGTCAAGGTTGTGGTGAACCATGATCACACCACTGCACCCCAGCCTGGCTGACAGACTGAGACCCCAACTCAAAAAAGATTTTGAAAGTAAGTCCAAAATGTGTTTAACAAAATAAAGCACAGTGTAAAACAAATAAAATACATCTGTATGACACACTCAGCTAGCGGGTCACTAGTTTATGAATCCAATGTTATAGCCACAGTCAAAGTAGATATTACTATCTCCATTTTACAGATAAGAAAAATAAGCTAGGTGACACAAGTAAAATTGGGGTCAGGAATGATCCTAGATCTGCTCGATATCACCAAAATTGTATATTTTTTTCATTATCATGTAACCTGTATCCAAAACTGATTTATTTCCATTTCTTCCTTTTTTTGTTCCTGGGTTGCCTTAAAACTAGTTTTAAACAATATCCAACAAAAAGAACCCAGTCCAATGTGACTACAAAGGAAACTCCATAGCAAATAGCTATGGAGGAAAAGTTTTAAGTACTTACATATTTTAGTCTTTTGTTTTTAAACATGAGTTATTTTAGCAAAATATTCCTTTGGTCCTGTAATTCTGAGTTTAGGAATTAATACTACTTACCATTCATTTTCTTTTCTATGTTTTGAAGCTATGTCATTTAATAATATGTTTGCAAAGACTTTTGCTTTATTTGTCAGGCCTGTCTTCAAATCTTCACAATCCAAACGCACCATAGGGTAATGAATCCATTGAGGCAAAAGCATTATTTCTGAGGTAAGACTGAAAAATCTTTCTATAAACTTAAAAAAAAAGTGTTTAAAAGAAGAAAATGCTTAGAATTTTCTAATTCATTATGCATTGCGATGAAATGTTTAATCATATAATATAAATGCAAACTTATTTCTCTTTTGCTAAATAACTAAAATGTTTTCCTTTGTTACATATTTTTTTTTCACCTACCTTTTCACTAAGGAATTTGCCAATCTACCAGCAAATAACCAATACAATGCCATTTATAGAATCATAGCATCACCATCTGGACATATCAGATTTTTCACTCAATAATTATTTTTTAAAAACTATTCTTGAGGTGAGTGGATTGCCTGAGCCCGCGGGTTCGAGACCCGCTCTGGGCAACGAGACCTCATCTCTACAATAAATCAAAAAATCAGCCGGGCATGGTAGCCCATGCCTGTAATTCTGGCTACTCGGAAGGCTGAGGCAGAAGGATCACCGGAGCCCAGCAGGTGGAGGCTGCGTTGGCCGGGAGCGGCCACCGCACTCCAGTCTGGGCAACAGTGAGACTCCAACCCAAAAAAAAAACCAACAACGATTCTCATAATCAATTCATTTCTCTCTGTTTAGAAACAAACCTATCTGTATTGATGAAATAGTCCAAATTTTTAAAATTTCCCACATAGGCATATGAACCACAACTATAGTATGTCAAAAATTGACCCCCAAAATCCAGAAATATAATAGCAAACCTGAAGGTAAAATTTTACGGTTATATAAACTATCCAAAAATTATTATAAAATTCTAGAAAATGTCCACAGCAAATACTAGACTTAAGGAAATAAACATTATAAAACCTAATGAAATACCAAGGGGGCCAAAAATATACATGCACTTTTTTTTTTTTTTTTGAGTCAGAGTCACACTCTGTCACCCAGACTGGAGTGCAGTGGCTGCTCCCGGCCACCGCAGCCTCGACCTGCTGGGCTCCGGCGATCCTTCTGCCTCAGCCTTCCGAGTAGCCGGAATTACAGGCATGTGCTACCACACCCAGCTAATTTTTGATTTATTGTAGAGATGAGTTCTCGCTGCCCAGGCAGGTCTCGAACCCGTGGGCTCAGGCAATCCACTCACCTTAGCCTCCCAAAGGCGCAGGATTACAGGCTGAGCCACCGAGCCCGGCTACATGCACATTTTTAAGAGATGTTTACCATAATCAGAAGTGTCTGGGCACTGATGGTAACCACTTTGAGCACCTCTTGCAACTGTAGAAGTAAGTCAAACATGACTTGCATTCATCTTATTGAATATTATAATCTTAACACAGTTTTTTCCTTTCTTAAAATGTGTATACATTTTGGGGGGCACCCTCTGTATATGCTTGGTCTAGATATTTAGGGCCTATAGTAATACAAGTTATGGCCAAGACCACAAAATAATTTAGCTGTTATCTCATAGAACATTTATTGTGCCTATTCTCCACATAGAACCATATTGAGATATATCACAAAATATAAATGAAAGAGAATACAGGTGGACCCCCATATCCATGGGTTCTGCATTCACAAATTCAACCAATGGAAAATCAAAAATATTTGAAAAAATAACAATACAACAATAAAAATAAACAAAAAGCAATACAGCTTAACAACTATTTGCACAGCATTTACACTGTATTAAGTATTATAAGTAAAAGGACAAAAGACCAAAATGGAGTTGATATAACCAAAAAGCAGCCATTTAACATTGCTTAGGTTTGTCATGTTTTTTGGGTTTTTTTTTAACCAGTTCTCTTCAATTTACCCTCTAATCATTAACCAAGGGCAGAACTGGTTTCCCAGAAATAGCTATTGATAATTGTCTTGCAATACCCCAGGTCCTGATTACTTTTCTATTCCAAATATTTGTCTTCCAGCCATAAAAGGCCAGGCTAACCTAATCTATTATGATCAGCCCTTCATGACTTATGTGGCACTCCCCCATCAACATGGCAACAGTTTCTGTGCTTATCAGTCCCTTCATGATGATGACATAAAACAGAACTGCCCCATCAAAGGAATAGTTTAAAAAGCATTCAGCCTCAAGCAGCCACTGCCATGCTTTTCTCTAAGCTCTGGCCTCTTCCCAATTTGGGGAGGTGGATCTCTCCTCTCTCTTTCCAATCTACTTTCTAAATAAACTATTTTTCCTAATCTAATTTCCATGCAATTCCTTGCTGCTTACTCATGACACTGGCATATCCCACAGACCTAACAATAAGTAATCTAGAAATGATTTAAAGTATAGGAGAGAGTGTGCCTAAGTTATATACAAATACTACACCATTTTATATAAGACACTTGAGTATCTGCAAATTTTGGTATTTGTAGGGGTTCCAAGAACCAACACCCCACAGTTACCAAGGAATAACTGTATACCATCTCTGATTCTATAAAAGTAATAATGCATATATGAATTCATTATATGGTTTCATGAACACAAATAACAAATAAGATTTTTTAGAGTGTGCATATTAGAAAAATAACACCTAGTCATGTCAACAGATGCAAAAAAAAGCGTGTAATAGGCTCGCCTGAAAGTACTGAGTTATCTCAATTGATTGTCCAAGGTCAGTCATAAATCAAACTTCTTATTCTACTCTTTTCCACCTTCTTTTTTTTTTTTTTTTTTTTTGAGTTGGAGTCTCACTCTGTCACCCAGACTGGAGTGCAGTGGCCACTCCCGGCCTCAGCCTTCCAAGTAGCTGGAACTACAGGCACGTGCTACCACACCTGGCTAATTTTTTATTTATTGTAGAGATGAGGTCTCGCCAAGTTGCCCAGGTGGATCTCGAACCCGCAGGCTCAGGCAATCCACTCACCTCAGTGTCCCAAAGTGCTGGGATTACAGGCTGAGCCACCAAGCCTGGCTCTTTTCCACCTTCTAACTATTGCATTTGACTAGTAAAAAAAAAAAAAGAAGAAGAAAAAAAAAAAGAAAATGCATTTAACATATTCCAATACTCTTTTATAACAACAACAACAAAAAGCACTTCACAAATTAGGATTAGAAGAGAACATCCTCAACTTGATAAAGCATACCTTGGAAAAACCTTCAACAAACAACATACTTAATGGTGGAAGAAAATGGGCCAGGGAAGAAGACTGCTGAAAGGAGCTCCTGGGGTCTCAATAAATATCAATCACTGATCTTGGAAACTGTTTCTTCAAGGGAGCTTGAATATGATTAATCAATAGAGCAGTTTATACCTCTAGAAAGAGCATTGTTTAAAACAACAGAGCAATCAGCTAACAATTAGTGGATTCTAACACATTGTGTGTGGTGGCAGTGGGAAAAAGAGAAGAGAGCCCTGTTGAAACCACTGTCACCTTAAGATAACTATGGCAATTCCCAAAACTGTGGTTCCCTAAAGCATATTAGAGGTTTAACATTTAGGAAGGAAGGGAATAGATGTCACTGAAAGAATTCACCCAGAGTCACTAAACTAATAAGTGTCGAAATTATAACAAATAATGAAACATACAAAGAAATAAGAAAATATTCCATGTCCTAGAATGCACACAGGCAACAGTAACTGCTTCTGAGAGCTAACAGAGTGAAACTAACAGGAAACAAACTTCAAAGTAGTCATTAAATATGTTCAAAAATTAAAGGATATCATGTTAAAGAGACATTTGATGACATTGTCTCATCAAGTATAAAATATTAATAAAAAGATGAAAATTGTACTTTAAAACCAAATGAAAACTCTGCAGCTGAAAATTACAATACATGGAATGGAAAATTCACTAGAAAGTTTCAACAGTAAATTTTAACCGAAATAAGAAACAGCTGAAAACTTGAAGATAAATTGATAGAAATTATGCAACCCAAAGAACAGAGGAGAAAAAAGGAAAGAAGAAGAAATAAACAGTCAGATATGAGACATGATTAAGTACATGAACATATTTGTAATGGGACTATCAGAAGAAGACAGAAAGAAGCAGAAAAAAGAGTTGAGGACATAATAATTTCCCAAATTTATGGAAAAAATACTGATGTATGCATTCAGAAAGCTCAAAGAACTCCAAGTAGGATAAATGCAAAGAAATCTAGAAACGGATGCATCATAGTTAAAATGGAGAAAGCCAGACAAGGAGAAAAATCACGAAGCAGTAAGAGTAAAAAATAAATAAATAAACTGTCAACCAAGAGTACTATATCCAACAAAGCTATCATACAAAATGAAGGTAAAATAAAGACATTTCTAGATTTTAAAAAACTGAGAGAATTTACTACTAGCAGACCCATCTTAAAAAATAAACTAACAGAATTTCTTCAGGCTGAAAACAAATGACCCCAGGTAGTAATTCAAATCTACATAAAAAACACAGAGCACTGGTAATACATATTGTATAATTACAAAAGATAGTGTGAAGGCATATTTTTCTCCTTTTTTCTCTTTTTTTTTTTTTTTTGAGTTGGAGTCTCACTCGGTTGCCCAAACTGGAGTGCAGTGGCTGCTCCTGGCCACCACAGCCTTGACCTGCTGGGATCCGGTGATCCTTCTGCCTCAGCCTTCCGAGTAGCCGGAATTACAGGCACGTGCTACCACACCCGGCTGATTTTTTAATTTATTGTATAGATGAGGTCTCGCTGCCCAGGCAGGTCTCGAACCCGTAGGCTCAGGCAATCCACTCACCTCAGCCTCCCAAAGGCATGGGACTACAGGCTGAGCCACTGAGCCCGGCCTTTTTTCTCTTAATTAATTTTAAAAGGAGTTGTATAAAATAATGTGTATATACCAGCCTGGGCAACATCGCAAGATCCCATCTCTACTAAAAATAAAAATATTAGCTGGGTGTGGTGGTGTGCACCTGTAGCCTCAACTACTCATGAGCCATGAGTCCAGGAGTTAGAGATCACAGTGAGTACTGGGTCACTGCATTCCAGTTTGGGCAGTAGAGCAAAACTTTGTCTCAAATAATAAATTTAAAAATTAATTAATATATATAGTATTGTTAGCAAAAATATGGAACCAACCATGCTGCCCATCAAAACTGGACTGGATTTTTAAAATGTGGT